TCAAATGTAGATCATCGCCCTATTAGACCCCTATTAGTGAAAAGAAGACCTTGTCGATTACTGGTCAGTAGAAGGAGATAATAAGATGAAGCAGGACCATCCTATTGTTCCCCACTATAGAGCAAGATGGTTAGATGCTCTATTTGTATTGGGTATCGTCATAACATAAGGCAATGCCGTGCTCCTTCCCCAATACCATTAATGGGTTAGGACATAGTAGTAAGTAATATCGTTGAGATATTACATATGCATAGGCCTAGTCTTGACTAGTTGAAATCAGACCACACTACAATGAGAAAAATTTATTGTAAGAAAGGGGTGCAACTCTCACCATCATCCAGAGCATACACGAAATCGCTTCTTCCTCCATGGCAGCTCCTAACCCATTAACATATGAAGTGGCTTCATCCTCCATGACATCTCCTAACCCATCAACATATGAAGTGGGTTTTTCCTTCAGAGCAGCTCATGTCATCATATTAGGTCTAACAGTGCAAGTAGAGGAAGGGTTGGAAATTGTATGAGGGGTGGCAAAAGGAGTTTGTTTGACATAAACATCCAAGAGCCTTTACCTAGTAGATAGGTTTCCTTAATCATCTAATTTTATATTATATACTAAAGGGACCTATGATGTAATGGTTGAATAACCCAACATGGGTGGTAGAGAAAGGTTGCATCATCCACACATTATAGTCCCCCAAGAAAATATGTTACCCCCTAGTTAATTTTAGTTAAATGTTATATTAAAGTTTAGACTATGTAGTAAGTAAAACACCTTATAATGTGTGCACGTCGAAGAATAATCCTACCAAGAAATTATATTTTTTTTAACCATGACTCAGAAGTGAAGAGCATTGGTTTCTTTAAGTTGTATATTGTTTATATACATTGAGTACATTTTAAAGTTGAAAGTCTTAATTGACCCATTTACTTTTTGGGCTCTTAAAGAACCCCAAATTAACTGTACCATTAACTTGAAGTAGTAAATTTGATGTTTCATATGACGAAGTGCCATGCAAAGGGTTTTGAACCTTTCTCCACAAATCATGTTAGTCCTTGTGCTACCTAGTAATGACTTTCTGTTCCATAAGCAGGAGCAAAATTCCCAAAACAAACACCTCAATTTCCCTCTTCGGGAACATGAATGTGAAGTTCAGTTCCCATAGCCCGACTATATAATGTGAGTTATATGTTGTAAATCAAGGCCATTTTCTTTTTTTTTTCTTCATTTTTTTCCTTTTCATTTTTATTTTTTTCGTAGTTGGAGCTATAGAAGTTTCTTTTTTCTCCATTTCTTAAATAAGAAAAATTTGCATTGTCTTTGGTATCAATTATATATGAGTACATATGCAATTTATGATTTTGTAATCGTTTCCTAGGAAAGGCATCCATATTTTTTCGTGGCCCTTATTTATTATTGTCATTGTAAAGTTGTTTAGTCTTTTCTTGATTTTGAAGAACTCATGGAGGACCTGCTCAAGTATATATGTTCTAGGAGTTGATGACTCCTTGATAGAAAATGAAGTGATTACTGCTTACAAATCCTTAGGTTTCTCATACTTCTTTTTCTTTCTTGTCTATTTTCCTTAGTAGATTTGTAACAAAAGAGACCATTGTTTATAAACCCTAACTCTTTTTGTTCCTAATGTAGCATATGGAATGTCACTCCTAAACTAATGTAGAATTAATTACATGGATATGGATATAATAAATGTTATTTTTTCTTCAAAAATATGATTATAATCCTAAAGTACAAGCATTAAAACATGTGAAACTACTTTATTGAGAACATGATAAAAAAGAAGTGGCAAGAGATATATTTGTTAGTGAAGATCCAAAAAAGGTGATAGGTAATAAAGTACTTGGTTATGAATGGGCGAAGGAAGGACTTCAATGTGACGCTTGTATGTAGCAAAATGATTTAATTAAATGTGTAAAAGTTTTATTTGTGGAATTAAACTTTTTTTTCCAAATTTACAATGGCTTTCATCTAATTTTTAAATGGAAATAATAAAATTTTAGCAACGGTTTTTTAAACCATTGTAAAACATGTCATTCAGCAACACTTTGTGCAACTGTTGATACAAAACAACATGACAATATAAATACTTTTTGCAATTGTTTTATCTAAAACTTTCGCTATTGCTAATTACTCATGTATTACACGTATTCTATAGTTACGATTTTGATTATGGTATTATCAACCTATGGCAACGGTTCAATATAAACCGTTTTAATAGATTATATAATTAACCACGAACAAACCCGTTGTTATATCAATTTGTAGCAATGGTACATAATAAAACCACTCCAATTAGCAATGGTTAAAATTGTTGCCATATGTATACTTTTTAGCCACAATGTATAATATCCATTGCTATAATTTTTAGACACATAAAAAAAAGCATTGCTAAATTCATCACATAGACCTCAGTCCTGTATCCTAGATCCATGACTCGAATGTGTATTTTAGATCCAGATCCCTGACCAAGATCTTAGAATCCACCACCCATATCCCTGATCCACGATTTAAATATAAATATAGTACCAAACCCAAACCTAGATTCGAATCCTAGATCCAAACACGTCCTAATCCCATATCCATGAAATAAAGCCAGATCTTATATCCTAGTTTCAGATCCCATATTCATGACCCAAATGCAAATTTTAGATCCAAATCCATGACCCATATCCTTGTCCAAGATCCTGAAATCTAAGGCCCATATTTGTGACCCATATACAATCTTAAATCCAACTAAACACCTAGATCTTATATCCTTTAGCCATATCTAGATCTAGACCTAGATCCAAATCATGCCTTAAATCCTAGATCCATGACCTAAACCCAACCTATGATTTGTGACCCATGCCTATCCCATGATTGTTACCCAAACCTATATTCTATATCCAAACCCAAACTCAAATCTAGATCCAAACCTAGATCCAAATCAAATCATAAACCCAAACCTAAATCCTAATATATACACAAATCCTAGATGCATGACCCATATCCCAAATCCAAGAGCATGACTTAATTTATACACGTTTACGTATTAGATTCTTGTCAGAACGATATATATTGACCAATATGGATTGATACGTTGCGATATTTTGAACCTTGAATTCAAGAGATAGACCCAATCTATAACCCTGACACAAACCCCAAGCCCAGGTCATAACCTATATCCAGACCACCAAGTTTACGCCCATACCTAGATCCAACCTATGATCCTAGCCTATATCAAGTCCAAACTCATACCAGTACCAGTTCACAAGCCATCATGACTAGGCCATCCCCCTTTTATCTAGTCAAAGCAACTCGACACCTATTCGAACTGATTTCATCCACCTAACTCATCAAACCCAAATTTCATCCAAGCCATCTTGAACACAACCCATAAACTTACAAAATACCAATCTCAAACCCAAATTTCATCCACCCATACCCCATGGAATCAAGCCCAATCCAAAACCAGCTTAGTTGTTACTTGGAAACCTAACCAAAGTTGGCTTTTCAATAGCACCAGTAGCCTTAATTCTTGATCACTTAAAATCCAACCCAACTTAAACCATCCACACCCCCATAATGAAATCTGACCCTATACAAATCCATCGGAACTTAATACACTTAACCATACTAAGCCCATTAGAACCATTTAGAATAAACCAAGCTCATCCAATCAAACCAATCAATCCAATCAAACCAATTCGAACCCAAAACCAAGCTCATCCAATCCACTTGAACCATTTAGAATAAACCGGATCATTCGAATTGGACCTATTCAACCCACTTGAACCAAGCCCAACTTATCCACTAAGCAACAACCCATGTAGGCCTATCGTTTTAAACTAAACCCAACTTGTCAAAACCAATTAGCACTCACTCTGCATAGGTTTAGCCTACCTTCCCACACCTTGGAGCCCAAATCAATTAGAAGCAAAAAATCAAGTCCATCCAATCTACTTGAACCTTTAGAATAAACCAGACCAACCCAAATTGGTAATATTCAATCCACTTGAACAAAGCCCAACCTACTCACTTAGAAACAACCCTAATAACAACAACAACAATACAACTGTAATTTAAAATTTTCATGTGCAATGCAAGTGCATATTTATTACGAATATTTAAGTTTATTTTTAATAATATTGTTATTTTTGCTAATTTCCAAATTTAATATGATATATCTAAAACTCAACTAAAGTAATTAATATAAAGAAAAAATTATCATGTACAACACGTGCTTAATTATTGCTATAAACATAAAAAAGAACCAAATAACTGAACGGTAAAAAAATGAACCAATCAACCGATTAACTGATTGATATCGGCTCGGTTTTATGGTTTTCCAAAAATAAAAAATGAATTCGGCTTAGAAAAGCCCGAATTCGATTAGTCAAACCATGAGCACCCTAAACCATTACAGATTAGGTATTCAAAATCCTATCATGCGAATATGACATCCTTTACGTGGGACTCAGGAACGTGTGTCGAATTGACGGATATTAAAAATTAATATTCAAATTTAAATCCAATTAAATATTCAAATATTCGATTCGATTCGACTTCAACTAATTAATTATTTTAGGTAATCAATAAATATTTTATTTATATAATTTAATTATTATATATATAAATTATACAAGACATTTAAATATTTTATATAAGAATTAAATAATTAATCGAATTCGGATATTTATCAAATCTAATCAGGTCATATTCAAATTTGATTAACTATGAATAAAATATTCAAATTTGACTGATTAAATATTCAAATTAATGGAATTGGATTCGATTATGTGAAATCTCGAATTCTAAATTGGATTTTCGAATACCGATGCACAATGGGATCCATTGTGGGGGTGGGCAGCTGATCCTGTCCCCTCAGGAACAAAAATTAATCCTGAGCCGGACTCCGGACAATTGATGATGCTCCCGCGCAGCAGAGTATCATAGAGAATATAAATCTCCAACCTCTAACCCGCCATTTCTACCTTCTCATGGCACTGTACACTCTTGAACAGTGGCACTGACACCGGCTTCCCAAATCCTTCGCCGGCGTTACCCTCCGGTTATGTTCATCCGCCCGCTCTGAACTGAAACAATCTGCTCCCAAAGCTGCAAAGATGAGCACCATAGATAAGATGTTAATCAAAGGCATCCGGAGTTTCGACCCGGAGAACAAGCATGTCATCACCTTCTTCAAACCTCTAACCCTAATCGTCGGTCCCAACGGGGCCGGAAAAACTGTAATAACCTCATAAATTCATTCCTTGGCCATTGTACTGGTGTTATATTCCTCATTCTGATATTCTTGTTGTCTCGTTTGGTTCACAGACCATTATTGAATGCTTGAAACTATCATGCACTGGCGAGTTACCTCCAAATGCAAGGTCTGGTCAGAGTTTCATTCATGACCCTAAGGTGTGGTGGGTTTGTGTTCTCTTCATTTTCTTCCAATTTCGTGTCTTAGAACGGTGTATTTGGTTATTTACATTTTTCTTTTTTTTTTTCCAATTTGGGTCGTGGTTGTAGGTTGAGGGGGAAACAGAAACGAAGGCACAGATAAAGCTTCGGTTCAAGACGGCAGCTGGAAAAGATGTTGTCTGTATAAGGTCGTTCCAATTGACGCAGAAGGCTTCGAAGATGGAGTACAAGGCGATTGAAAGTGTCTTGCAAACAATTAATCCTCACACTGGAGAGGTCACTGCAGTTTTGTTTGAACATTTGTAGAGTTATGCTGTTAGAATAGTGGCAGAAGTGCATATGCTAGATAATGAGTGGTAAAACTAGAAATAATAGGTTCGGAAATTAAGTACTAGGAAGGAAAGTAACATGCAGCAACTCCAATAGGTGATAAAATGAGAGAAAGTACTAGGAAGGAACGTAGGAGCAACTCCTAATGAGAGAAAGTAGATTGAAGTGGTTGATCACGTGCATAGAAGACCATCTATTTTGTTACTTAGTTGAAGGGACTAGAACTGCTAGGGGCAGACCGAAAAGGACTTGGATGATCCCACTAGTTGAAGGGGCTAGAACCACATATAATTTGATGATGGATATGACACTGAACAGAATGGAATGGGGAAACAGGATTCATGTAACTGATTCCATATAGTTGGGACTTGGGACAAGGCTTAGACAACGAGGATGATAGTTTAAACCAGAAAATTGTGCTCCTCTTCGAAACCTATATGCCATCTACCTGAATTCGTTTGGTATCTTCAACCCTTGAGTTTGATTCTATATCCATGTCTTATCCTCCATACTATCTTTCCTGTTATTATTTTGCCCCCTTTTTAATCAATAATGAAACCAATTTCTTAATGAAGAAATGATCAAGGTAAAAGGGGTGCACCCCAGAGATAAAGTTCCGCACAACGAACTGTCTGATTCAGAAATTGCACTACTATCTAGTATGTAGCCAAGCTATCTGCCAAAGAATTAGTGGGCACTGGCAGTCATCTGAATGGTCTGCCCACTATGGATAAAGGCTCTGGCATCTCTTATATTAAGACATACTGACCAAAGGCAATGGTGCCATCAATCATCCATAAGATAAACATCTCCCCTCTACTTCCCTTTGTCAAAAGATTAAGGAGAAAATAAGTTTAATGCAATAAGACCTTTTGAGGGCTGCATATGGTATTTGTTAGTCCTAATTTGTACTCGAGTGAGTTAAGAAATGGCACCAAATGGTGCCATCAATCATTTGGTGCCCTTCCCCACATGTCTGTTGCCTTTGCTTAAGAAATGGTGAGACGACGATTCATCTTTTGATTTATTGTCATTTTGCTTCTTATTTGTGGGATTGGTTTTCTTCTTTGTTTGGTTGCAGATGGAATCCCCACTCCCCGGGTGTGTTGAACCTTTTTGACTCTAGCTTCTTCCGACAACCAAGGAAAAGAGGTAGGGTAATGTGGAGAATAACAAGAACATCCATCCTTTGGTCAATTTGGGAGGAGAGAAACAATAGGATAGAAGTACAACATCTCTTCAAGGACTTCTCAGCTGATTTAATTAGAAATTGGAGTGTTATAGCTGTATCCTCTCCCACCTTCCCTGTGGTACAAGAAAGTTGGGTACCACCGCCTTAGTTCAGGGTGAAGTTAAACTTTGATGGAAGCTCCTTGGGTAATCCAAGTCAGTTGGGAGCTAGGGGTGTGTTCATAAATGAGGAAGGAATAGTCTTGGCCCTTTACTTAGGCCCAATTGGGATGGGAGATTCATTAAGGGGAGAAGTAATGGCCTTACTTCAAGGATTGAGACTGGCGAAACAATAGGGAATGCAACAATTAGAAGCAGAAGGAGACTCCAAGCTGGTAATAGGGTGGATGCAATTTGGAAACTTGGGAGTTTGGTCTCTTAGACAGCCTCTAAGAGAGATTATTAGCTTAGCAAGGGAGATTGGGGTGCGTTTTAAATGGGTAAGAAGGTCGTCAAATGGAATGGCTGTCACTTTAGCTAAGCAAGGAGCTACTAGGGAGACTTTGTTTTGGTCTTGTTTGTAAGATTTTGTTTTGATACTCCATCCATTTTGTGGGTGGTAAATCTGTAATCTTTTAAAATCATCAATGAAGTTATCCTTTCCTATAAGAAATATTATATATTAATAACAAAATTTGCTTAATTCAGATTTTTCAGTTAACCGAATTCCCAAACCAGAAAATAGAAACCGAAATTGAAGTTTTGTAAAACTGAATTAACCAAACTGAAGTAACCAAAAACCAAACCAAAAAACCGGAATCAAAATTTTTGGTTTGGTTTTAACTGAACAATGCTCATCCCTGGTGAATACTTATGCCTTATTAAGTGATTGTGGTTAGCCTTAGGCACCTACTGTGCTGATGAATACATGGAATTTATGGGGGTTGTCCAGAGCTTTTGAGTTCTTGTTGAAATTTGTTTGGGCATTTAGAGTGTGGGTTTATTGATCTGCTATGTGTAAATTGTCTCATCTATATATTAGCATTTACTTAAGTTTTATTTCTCCTTGTTTATGGCTGAAGTGCAGAAAGTTTGCCTCAGTTATAGATGTGCTGATATGGATAGGGAAATTCCTGCTCTAATGGGTGTCTCAAAGGCTATATTAGAAAATGTTATATTTGTACACCAAGATGAGGCCAACTGGCCATTGCAAGATCCTTCGACATTAAAAAAGAAGTTTGATGACATCTTCTCTGCTACTCGGTAATCCCCTATATTATCTTCACTCATAAGTATCTGTTGTTGCACTTTGAATTGAGATAAAGTTTATTGCCATTCTGCATATTTTTAATGGTCCAGGTGAAATTAAAGTTTTTTTTTTTTTTGTAATGATACCTTCATTACAAAAAACGTGCTATTGTAATGAAGGTATTGGAGCTGATTTATATAATTATCAGTTCTACAAGAAACTGTACATATAAAGAAAAAACATGCTATTGTCCCCAACAATCGTGAAAGGAGAATAGTGAGGTCCACAAAGTAATCTTTACTCACTCCACCCCTTGATTATAAGAGAAACTCTTAAAAATTGGTCGTGCAAATGGCCTAGCACCATGGTTCAAAGTATAGATACGCCCTTGTGTATCGGCAGAGGTGTCACGATACGTAGAAACACATGCTTTTATATTTTTTTAGTTTTTTTTTTCAAAATATGGTTTTTGGGGAATTATTTATGCATATCTTTTTTATTAAAAAAGAGAGGGATCCTGAAGGTGTATCGGAACCCCAAAGATACGATATGATATGCCTGATATGGGGCGTATCATATAAAAAATTTGAACCTTGCCTAGCACAAGACCATTTCCAATAAAAAAAGGCCTAGCACAAGAAAAAAGGAAATATTTTTCTATAGATGTGACCCTGGGAAAGAACTAGTTGGTGTAACTCATCTCATTGTGAAGGTTCTATAAAGTGCATGCATACCTTTGAGTTGAAAGAGCATTGTCACATTAGTTGGAATTCATTTTACAATTGGATACCTACTAGTTAATGACCCAGTACTCAGTACAGGAAAGCTTGTATATAGTTTTTTGTTTGAGACCTGAGACCTACTATTCAAGTGGCATGTCTTGAAGCATTTAGTCTGAGTTCTTTATTTGATTTAGGACACTGAATTATGTTTAATTTGTAATTGGATAGCCCGCTTGATCTTTAAGAATGGAACCCACATCAATTTAATGTCTTGAAAGCATTAATGCTGGGTTTTTTTAGCAAACTAAAATTAGATTTGATTTGTTATTAAAGGATATGAGCTAACTTTCCAACTTGAATTAGGAAGCAACATGATTTGAGAGCTAGAGTGGGACACACCCTTTGCATATATTTTGAATTGAAATTTATTTACTCCTTTTTATGAATGGGAGGCTATTAGGGCTGTAAATGGACTTTGAAAGTTCGAAATGCAAATTATTTCGCATTCAGATAATCTATTTACATAATTGGATTGGATTTGTATTTTAGAACCTGCTTCCATTTAATAATTAGATTGGATGTAGATTCAACTCTATCTGATCCAATTAATATATGGTATTATATAGTTGAGTATGCATAAATGATATATATTTGTAATTATATACAATTTATAACTAATAAATTTGATAATTCATTTTTACATAAATTTATTATATAAGTTCAAAAGTAATTTGTCTTTAACTTTTTTTAATAAAATTTTCTTTATTTTAAAGACAACAAAGGAGATTTGGATTAGATCCAAATCCAATCTGAGTTCAGTAGTATCCAAATCTAATCTGAGACCCCTAGATCCGATTGGATTCAGATGTAGATGGATGCAATCCAAATCTGACTTGATTATATGTATTATATTGATATGTGTTTAGATGGAAAATGTGGAATGTTAACTTGATTACTTGGAAGATTAAGTGTGACAGGAAGTGGAATTGCATTAAGGCATAAAAAATTTTGATATGCTTACCAAGTTAACTTTGCATGTTTCTTGGGGGCAATTTGATAATGGATGAAGTTGTCGAATTGAACGACATTGCTTTGTATTTTAATTGATAAAATAATTAAATAATAAACTATTTACGGTATATTAATTTATCCTCAGCTTATTCACTAAAGCACAAAGTGTTGGAGTAAACAGTTGTAATCTGTTTTTGGTTTTGATTGTGTGGAGAGGTCACAGCTCGTGCCTCTCCATAAGACACTTGTACCTGATTTTATCCATATTCTAATGAAATTAATTCATCTTACGAAAAAAAAAACACCTCCAGAACAAAAACAAGAGCAATCCCAAGAAACCAACCCCTGTAGGCTTCGAAATAATAACCCTCCAACCCCAAGATAAGATGAAGGAACACTCATCCCTGAACAATCGCTGACCAGCTTACCCTCAATAATCAACCCTACATCTAATGAAATGGTCCTACGCCCTACAAACACAAAACTGTAGTATTGCCCAACACTTGCCCCATTACTCAGCAGCTTCAGTGGCTGCATCACAAACCTCTTTCTTATTAGGTCCAACCCCAAATAACCCCCCCCTCAATCTAGTGAAGATTTTTGATGCATGAACAGTTCAAACATTTTTCTTACTCCTGAACCTTCTAATTGTATTAGAGATATTCATGGGGGTCTTCAAATCCTTGAATCTGTCATTGATTATTTCTAACTCTAAGACCACATTCTTCTCAAAAAATTGGTCTACCACCAACTCACAATTCTCTTTTGGACCATCCCCAACTTTTTCAACAGACCTTGAATCATTTTTTATGTCAAGATCTTTGATGTTATTGCCAATCTCCCAGATAACTTTTTTGTCCTTGTATATTGAAGGTATACAATATTTCTCCTCCAATTCCTTAAGGCTATGTTTGGTTTGAAGGAAAAGGTAGCCTTCCTTTCCCTACTTTTTCCTTCAAACCAAACACAGCATAAAAGTCTTCCCTGTTTCTCCCTCTTGAGAAAAAATTAGCCCAGGGTTTTACCTCACCTCCATCTCTTTATTCACCACCATCTCCAAATTGTTTGACCTTCCTAATTCAGGGACTTCATCAATTATGACTCCTCGTTTGATTCCAAGTCCTTTTTCTGATTCAGATTCAGACACCTTGTCTTCATGCAAAGGTTTGGTTCTGCAACTCCCTTTTCTCCACTACACCTTGGAACAAGAAATCTCACATCCTTCCTTTTCTCTTTCTCCTTTCCCACTTTGATAATTTTCTTTCTTAACCTCTGCATCCTCTGAATAGTTCTTACCATTTCCAGTTTCTACCCTAATATCTGAACCATAAGTTGTATCATCAATATCAACTTCCCCCCAGTTCTCCTTTTCAGCTCCCTTACCACCAGCTCCATAACCTTTTTTTTTAAAGAGTAAAGAAGAAAAAAATTATTAAAAGGAAAAAACAGGTACGTTCTGATCAGGTGTCAAGATGACACCCCACAACAAAGAGAAAACATACATCAAAAACTTCAGTCCAGACTCAAGTGATTCACATTACAAGTTTGGATCTCAAGAATGTCTCAAAAAATCTCAGCAAAGTCTGAAGGGCTGATTTGCTCAAATTCTTCAAAGGAGATGACCCAACTTGTGATGAGTTTGCCTACCAAAGCTACAATCACTTAAATACTTCTTTCCTTTCCCTCGAAGAGCCTCCTATTCCTTTCCCACCACAGAGACCAGCAAACTGCAAAAGGGAATGCAGCTCCAGACAATTTTAGCTTTCATACTTCCTCTGAACTTTGGCCAGGTAGAGAAAATCTCTGCTGATGTTGATGGCTGGAAGATGGGGGTCCCAAAGAGGAAGGAGTAGAATCTCCAGATGAAATTCATTAACTGGCAGGAGAACAGATGGAAAATAGTTTCCTCATCTGACTTACACATATAGCAATAGTTATCCAGACTGATTCCTCTACTTTGAAGCGAATTCTGTATTTATGTTGCGGTATCTTCTCATTTCATTAAGGAATTCTGGCTGATGTTTCTGATTGAAAAAAATTCCATGTCCATAAGTTTTATAAGCATATTTACTGCATAACTTTAGTTTCTATTGCTTGGTTTAAAATTTTGTTCATACTTATTTATCAGGTATACAAAAGCTTTGGAGGTCATAAAAAAGCTTCACAAGGATCAGGCTCAGGAGATAAAGACATATAAGCTGAAGTTGGAAAATCTTCAATCCTTGAAAGATGATGCATACAAGGTAATTGGTTTAGTACTTTCTTATGGCATCATGTTTTGATGGTTCAGATAAAGTCTGTTCAGAGAGAGAGAGAGAGAGAGAGGAGAAATCTGTCGAACTAGAGAGTCTCAACCTCTCCCAGTCGACCATAACAATTTATTGTATCAATTAAGGATACAAAGTCATTTATAACCCTATTTAAGTATGGGACAAGTAATTTAAAACAAAACAGAATTGACAAGTCACTACTTAAAGTATAATGAAAAGTCTAAGTTATCCCAACTCAACCGACTCTAACACTCCCCCTCAAGCTGGAGAATATATGTCATATAATCCCAACTTGTTATATATATAGTTCACTCTCCTTGAACTCAAACCTTTTGTGAACAAGTTTGCCCATTGATCACCCTAACTCACATGCTCTGTGCTTATTTCTCTAGTAAGGACTTTCTCCCTTACAAAATGGCAATCAACCTTTATGTGTTTTGTCTTCTCTTGAAAAATTGGATTTGATGAGATGTGGATTGCGGCTTGGTTGTCATAGTACAATCTCATAGTTTTGCTCATTGAGAATCCAACTTCCTGCAGAAGATTTTTTAACTATACTAATTCACATGTGGTGTGTGCCATGACCCTGCAAGAAACGTGCAATAACCTGTAGTGGATATCTTGTTAGACGCCGAGCTTGCCCATTCTACATATGTATACCCAACTATCTCAAGACTTCCTCCTGGCTTGTACAACAACCCATGACTTGGAGCTCCCTTCAAGTACCTCACAATTCTAAGAACCGCATCCCAATGAGGTACTTGGGGATTTTGCATAAATTGGCTCACTACACTGATGACAAAGGAGATATCTGGTCTAGTAATGGTTAGGTAGTTTAGATTCCCCACTAACCACCTATATCTTCCAGGATTATCAAACATTTCACCTGTATCACTATTCAACTTAGCATTTGGTTCCATGGGTGTTTCAGCTGGTTTAGCACCTAACAGTCTTGTTTCTTCCAATAAATCAAGAACATATTTTCTTTGGCACAAATTTATACCTTGTTTCGACCTAGTAAGTTCCATACCCAAGAAATACTTCAACTTCTCAAGATCTTTTGTTTGGAAATGGTCTTGCATAAACACTTTTAGCTTGTCAATCCCTTGTCTGTCACTACCAATTATGACTATATCATCCATACAAACCACTAATAGCTGGACACTGACTGGTCGACCTAACATTGTTTCATTCCAAAATCTTTCACCACTTTACTGAACTTCCCAAACCAAGCATGAGGGGACTATTTCAGCCCATTAATTGCTTTCTTGAGTTTACACACCTTACCATATAATTTAGAGTAACTCTTAGCAACCTATTGGGCTTTCAGCCATTCCACACTACCATCTGGTAAATATTTAATAGTATACATCCATTTACAACCAAGAACATGCTTACATGGAGGGAGAGTGGTGAATGCCCACATGTAATTGTGTTGAAGAGCGGAGAGTTCCTCCTCCATTGCTTGACGCCACCCAGTTGAAGTGTTATACAGTTTTGCCCTTAGCTCCAATCAGATTGATGTATCTTTTGACATTTATTGTAAATGAATAAAGTACATAATTGATTCATGTCATTGTGGGGTGTTTCTGTGTAATACCCATAAACTGGACACTTATGAGACTCGCGTTAGTTTAGAATCTTCCAGCCGTTGGATAGATCTGGGGAGATTTATCCTGCCAAAGCTGCCACTGATGTACCGCCAAGTTGGTTGGGGTGGCTTGTCTCAGCTGACAGGGTGAGACCTGAGGTATATGCAATGTGGGTTTTCTTGAAACCCTGAACTGGACCAAAATTCTAGTATTGCTCTGGACCTTGAAGATAGATGGGAAAAATTGGAATGTTACACCTGACCCCTAGACTCGATTATGGTACTGCATTAGGTGTCAGATTGGACTGTCTTTTCTATGCCAATTAATGAGATCCTTAGAGGGGGTCAAAACCTGGGTATGTTGGGACAGTCTGAGAATTCACCTGAGTGGGTGATCATAGTGACAGGATCAGCCCCTTTGTCGGAAAAAGTGAATGATCGGGGAATGCATTCTCTCTGATGGAAACCTAAACTGCCGAC